CTGCGAACAATGGGACGGCGATCGGGCGGAATACGAAAAGAAACGAGTCGAGGAAAGCGTCGAGACCGCGAGGGGGTGAGAAGAAAGAACCGGCAGGGATTCACGTGCTTCGAACGGGATCGTGGTTGAGGACGATCGAGAGAAGAACCAGGGGAAAGAGCGTATATCTCTTCTCGATCCCCTCGATACCCTCTTTCGTTCTTTCTTTCCTCCCCGTTGCGACAACTTTTTACGGGACGCGAGGTTAACATACTTCCTGCACCGGGACGGACTGAAATTCCACACGATAGTCGTCACGATACGTAGTAAGAAGCTAATCGTGCTGCCGTCGCCGATCCCGCGGTGGCAGAGGTCTCTGAATTCGCTTGGAGGACGATAGAAATCGTGTGCGATAAAATTTACGAAAACTCGTCGATTTTAGTCAAAATTGTAGAATTACGGGTTTTTGAATTGTAGAATTACGGGTTACCGCTGATCATTATTCAGAGACAAAAGAATCCATATAATTTTTCACACTGATGCTAAACGCAAAACGGGAAAGTTACGAGAAACTTGCTGGTAATTTATTGTCGCAAAAATTCACATTTACCTGCGATCATTAGTATCGCCAGCTGTTAAAGACGATGATTACAATAACTCCCTTGGATACCTCGCGAGGCCACGCCATAAAGGGAATTATTCTCGCGAGTAACAATACCATAGAACGTACGAGGCAAAACGAGGATCGCAGCGATTATTAATCTTCGAAAGGAGACGGATGTTCAGCGTGTGTGTACCTTACGATCCATTGGCGCATCGCTACGTTGTCCCATCGTGACCCCATGCTCTTCGTTGAATGCGATCTCGACACGCTAATAGAATAACAAAAAAAGAAAGAGAGAGTGGCGGAGATCTTGCGACAGGAAGTTTCACCGCAAGGTGTCCGGCTTCCTCGAGGCCAGCCGCCATTTTTGCGAGGCTGCAGAGCCACGAGTGATCGACACCTGGCCTTTCTTCCATCGTAGCCAAAGCTCGGCGCCGAGAGTCGATTATTAATCGCTGAATGCGTGTCTAATTGTTCAAAAGACAACAAAGCGAGGGTGAAGACAGGCGAGAAGAGTTTTTTTTTTTTTATTTACTTTAGGAGAAAACGACGTCACAGAAACGTTTCGCTTCTTCTTCTACTCAGTTCCACTGTACTGTCTACTAGCTGCGGATTTTAGAATTTAAACCTTCTTAGTAATACAAAGAGTTTAATTGTTGCGCGAACAATTTTCGTAACGTCATAATTTTATGTCCAGCGCAACAATCGGATTATTAAAGACTCGAATTATTAAAGACTCGAAGAATCTGTCAGCTCTGGAAGAAAATTCCTAATCAGCAGAATCAAAGGTCGAACTTAAAAGAACAAACCTGTTCCACTCGTTCCTGAATTCCCCGATAACGATAAATGCAACAACACGAGGGAAAGGAAGAGGGAAGTATAGCAATTCGGCCCAACATCCGTTCGCTATCAGTGGCTCGCATGGTCGGTCCATGGATCAACCCATAAATTGGACTGGTTAATCCAGATAAGAGGCCCAGGCAGAAACTCAAACAAATGCTTGTCCTTTATCTGATACACATCCCTCGTACTTTCAGCCTAATCACGATACTGTTCGTACAAGATTACTGACAACCGAGCACCGAGATATCGATGTTACCACTCGGTGGATCGTCCGGCTGTGAATCTGGCGCGTTTGACAAACCAGTGAAGCAATTCCGTAGATTTACGAGTAGACTGACGAGGAGACTGTATCTCTTGTGCACGAAAACATCGCGATCGAGAACAGGGCGAAAGGATACACTAAATATAAACGAGGGGAAGAACGATGTGTACTTCGTACGGCGTGGAGATCGTCGTTATCGAGATCGTCAGTGGCGAGGCCACAAAAAAAAAAAAAAGAAAAAAAAATGGCCCGGTTGTAAGTGTCCCGTCCTCGAGCACGAAACTTACTCTTTGATGTTCCTCAGGCTGTGGGTGGCAATCTGAGAACTACTGCCGTTAGTTCTCATCTAAATTAGATTTTAATATCTCTTTCGGGGCCATTTTTATTCCACAACGCGAGGTAATGGAGCACCGTTCGTATCCTTTCAATCGTATCCTGTTTGGTGGGAAAGATGACTTAACTTGTATCTCGACTTCTCTTCAACGTACAGAGATCACGAATGATATTTTTTTTTTTTTTTTTAGAAAGAGTTTTCCTTTTACGCTTTATTAAGAACCATCAGTGGCCGAGCTGGGAGAGAATTGCCATTTAATGTTCCCGGTAGTTCGAGAATTAGTGCCATAAACTCGTACCTGAATTGGATTTTAACATCTGTTATACTTAAGGGATTTTTATCTCACAACGAAGGATATTACAATATCTTTTCCCTCCGAGGATCTCCCGAGGATTTTATAAAGATTGAAATTATCCCGGTTAATGATAGATCGTGAAGGTATCGATAACGCAATAACGTGTTTGGTAGACGTGTAATAGGTTCGTCAAGATTTCAAGCACGCCTGGATATCTCGAAGCGTTCACTCGATTGAATATTCCGTCGGATCCGTTATTTCAGCGTTTCAGTTCGCGAATGGGGGGAGGGGAATGCAGGCGCGGAAACGCAGGAATCACCGGAGGATTCAAAGACGGCTACGATATGAAATTATAGTAATTACCAGGGTATCTTAAGCGAAAGTATCTCGTTCCATCCTAACCTAAGCTCCGGACGATTGCGTCGCTATTACCGGGTTTAGGCTGACACAATGCTTGGCGGTGGTCGCCCGGGGCTTCACGCGAAACCTCAAACAACCTACTAAACGCCATCCCATCAATTTCTTTGCCGATGAATCGGCACAGATTGTTCGCCACTCGCGGAACAGCTCGTCGTTTCTCTTCGATGTAGGTAACCGATCGTTGCTTCCATGGAACCGACTTCTAAACGCCTGGTCCCCTCTGTTCACGTCCCCGTCCAGGAATTCTATTTGCGGCGCGTTGTGCACGACGAACGTGCCATCGACTTTCGTCTTGAAATAGGAGAGTAGAATGCTTCGCGATTGATCAGACGGCGAAAACTACAATCCCCTCGTCCGCAAATGAGCGTCGGATTTCGTTCTTTCTTCGTTTTCATTCGTTGTTCTTTGATTTGTAATCTGTAAATCACCGCCGAATCGCGTGACGCGATCGGTAACAGAACGTGTAACTTCCAAACGGTATCGAGTGTCAATGATCTCAGCTTTCAATGGAACAGAACAATCTTCTATTGGGTGACTTTTTTAACTTTCAAATGATTTTGAATTTCAATGACACGACTTCTCGCGACCTGAAATCAATCCTTAATTCTCGAGTGATTTTACTTGCGAATATTCATGTTTCTGGTGGGAAACATATTCAAATGAGGTTGAACAATATCGTCAGTGCCAGTGTTTAGCGTCATTAACTGAATTAATTCTGAATCACCGTCTTACATTCTTCCGACGTCCAACGTATACTGAACTCGTAAGGAAAAAAGACACTGTATAATCATTCATTTACGCGATTCGAGTTTAAGTCGTTAACTTCTCACGGATCAATAAATCATTCAATCTGAAATTCCTGTAAGCACGGTTTTAGTTCATATCGTCGCATGAATTGCGTCTAATGCGATTTACCGAAGCTTCTCCGGGGATTATCTGGAATTCAAACGCGGAGTGTTTTTCGCGAAATTCTTTCTTCTCATTTGTGATTATAATCCGTCGCGTCCACATCCATTAGGCATTTACTTGACGCGGGCTTGATAACTCGTTGAATTGAATTACACATCATGCGCGCAAGAAGAGCGACTTCCACGCGATACGGTGCTTGAATACATGTTTTTAATTTTCCGTCGTACAGGCATTTCGTTCGTGGAATCACAGCAGGTATGCAAATCGTCGTCATATTGCGCGATTCTTTTCGATTCGCGTTTAAATATTCTACCGCGCAAAAGAAATATGCGCAAGAGCAAACGTGCATTATCTCGTTACGGTTTGTCAAACGACATTGCGATCGTTTGCGAAAGTTAACGACAATATTTAACGCCCGCTTAAGGCGAGTAACGCCGATGCATCGAGCAATCTGGTAACCGAGACTCGATTTCGGTTAACGAGGTCTTGGATCGCCGTCGACTTTTCGTTTGAAAGAGCACGGTTATTCTCGCTTTTAATTAAGCGGATTAATATGCGTCCCACTCTGGTTATCTCGTTCTCGAGATTTGCGCGACGTTCTTTCATATTCGTTCGCCTCGTTTTCTGTTTTCTCTTCTCCGTTTCTCTTTCCATACGTCGGGAATATTTTATGAATATTTTCCACCGGCCGGTTGCTCCATTACGCGTGCACCGCATGGAAACGATCTTTCGGATCGGATTTCCACGCTGAAAGTGAAACTAACGAAACGAGGGCCTAACGAACGTCATTGCTAATCGGAAGCTTTGCTCGCCACCGTGGCACCTATTTTCCCCCCCTCTGGCAATCGCGGTATCATGTTCTGCACGTTTCACGTGCACGACGATACACGAGTATTTAGAAAGTATCTTGCCCTGAATACTATGGATTAAGTATCGATTGTTCTTGCTCAATGGGGAATTTTTCAAATGCTTCTCGTACTCGTATTCTGATGTGCAAGTCTGAAATACCATTGCCATCGATCTCTTTCACTAACATTCTTTCGATCCATTTGCTGCGAAGAATATTTGTAAAAGTGCAAGAATAGGATCCACTAGCGAAGTGGAACGTTCGCGTGTGCGATTCTGCACGACGAAAATGATCACCAACTCACGTGTACCGTTTTATCTCTCGGGAGAAGATAATTAAAACTCTACGCTACGTTTAACTCAACATCACACAACTCCAAGCTACTCGTGTCGTCCTAACTGAATCAAACTTTAGACCTCAACTTGCTCCGTCGCAAATTGACAAAATAAACGGTCGCCGATGGGGCGATCAGCAATGGCGAAGCGAACAAAGTTGCTAAATACTCACCGGAACGGGATCGAGGCAGACTGCGGTGTGCACGGTGACGAGAAACAGCAGGAGGAACAGGAGGGCCGCGTTCGCCCCGAACAGCCGAGCGATCATGCCCGGTGAATCGAGAGCTGCCAGTGGGGGCAGCGAGCGCAGACAGTTCGACGACGTCGAGGACGTGCTCGACGACGAAGCGGGCCGGTGCTCCTGTCGCGGATGCATCGCTTCATGATCGCGACGTGCCCGCGTGCTTGTCCCTTCGTCGACGCCGACCTTCCTCCTCTCGCTTCCTCTTCGTTTTCACGGTGACTGCTGCCTCTGTCCTTCTCTCCAGTGTTCGTCTCTTCGTTTCCCTCTTGGCCTCCACCACCGCTGCCAATCCTCCTTCCTTTATCTTCCTTCCTCTCCTCCGCCTCGCGTTCGCGCACGCACGCACGCACGCACGCTTGATTCTACGTGCGTGAACTCGCGGAGTCCGCGCGCGGCTCTATAAATACGGCCGCGCGACTCCACGCGAAGAATTTCAAACAAGCTCGCCGTAAAACACCATGAGTGGAAGAGAACCTCGGGGCCTCGTGGAGGGGCTAAAAGTCTTTTGCTCTCCGCGGTGCTCCTGAATCGGTCTTGTGGCACGGGAGTTCGCTTCAAAGCGGCCACTCGACGCTCGTTAGAAGCCCTCCGCACTCGTACGCTTCTGAAACCATCGATCAGAGAGGAGCGTGTTATTAGCGTGTTTTTCCGCGAGACTCCAGCTTTCTTTCGCTTGTTAATTTCGCTTGTTAATGTTGCCGGTTCGCCGACGTCGGCGAGGAAAGCTCGAGCCGGTTGTTGCTCGATCGAGACCGATGATCGTGCCAGGGTAAAATTGGTATGGATTTTACGATGGAATCCGATATTCCCTCGGACTGGAAAAAGCTGGTTGGACTCTGGGTATCATCGGGTTTAAGAGGTCTAATTAAAGTGAAGGAAGCAACGTTCTTCTTCGGGCTCGTTCTTAGGTCATTACCGATGTTCGCTCGCGTATTACGGAGCAATCGGTTTCTGCTCCCTCGCTAATTGTGCCAACGAGCTCGTAAATTATCGCTAACAATTAACTGAAAAGAAACAGTTGTCTATAAATTTCTCTCTCTCTCTCTCTCTCTCTCTCTCAATGTCTCTTTTGTTCGTACGATCGCGAACTTGCGTGGAATACTTGCGAGGGGGGAATATTCGCGGAGTCACGACTCGCTTATCCATTCTGAATTACCTGTTCGACGGATGTGAATGGAAAATTGATCGACTCCACCGGCGAACTTTAACGGTAGAAACAATCAGCGAGTCATTGAATCGACAGTCTGAAGCGGAAGTAGTCGAGTGTGTGTGGGATTACAGTAGGAGGATCCCGCGAGGAGGAGTGTACGCGTGTGGGATACAGGTGGCGGGGCACGTTCCTCGGCGAAAAGACACCGAGATATAACGAGCCTCCACGCAAACTAGCGGTTTGATACACGTTACGATTCTTTATGTAACGCGAAAGCGGATACTATCCACGGCTAGCGTGTCTCTCCTGTTTCGTCGAGAATCGGAGAGTTCAAGTGTCTTAGTCACGAGAGCATCGAGAGTATCGTTTTTATCGGAATCTATTACTCAATACTGTTGCTCAAGCGCGAATGAAATAAAAAAGAAAGCAAAAACGATAAAATTTTATGGACGACGAAGAAGAAGAAATATACGCTTACCTTGTCTATCGTTTTCATACTTGAAACATTCGCGAGTCAAAGTTTCGTTCAACACTTCGCTTGACAGAGAACATGGTTCGTCGATGTTGCGTCAATACAATTTGTTATTTTCAACATTGAGAAAAATTCTTCTCTCCAAGGTTGGATAAGCAAACGACGAGGGAAAGACACTGGAGGAGAGAGTTGCACCGTTTCGACCGATTCCCTCCCTTTAACTAATCAACGTCTGCTAGTTTTGAACGGAATTAGAGCCGACGCACAACCATGGAACGGTCCGTTCTCCAGCCGGCGAAACTATTCAAGTTGAAGCGAGCGGCGTGCCAGCGGCCGATATTTTTAGTCCTCCCTGCCTCCACCATCTGTCTTCGAGTTTGGATTTCCTGATCGTTTTAGACGCACCGTCGAGACGGCGCGGTTCTTCCCTGCTTTTCCGTGGCAGCGAGTCGATTATTATACTATTGCCGTGGACACTTGGCGCTTCTCTGCCGGTTCACACGACTCTCTGTCATCCTTCAGACAAGGGTGGCCAGTTCTTCGACTGGTCGACAATCGTTCGAAAGGCAACGTCGATTTTTCTTTTCCTTTTTGCAAGTGTCGTCTCTTATCGCGCACTTGAAAGCTCTTGCTAATTGAGTTTCTTTGTTCGTACGGTGGAACGTCTTGTCAGGTGTTATTAACGAGCAGGAAGTACAAAGTCGATCGTGAACGAGACAAGCGGCTGGCTGTGCCGGAGCTTCTCGAGCACACGCACGTGGCTCCAAGCCGACTGACGAGATACACGCGCGAGGAAGTATCAACAGAGGCTGAGAGGAGTGGCTACCAAGCGAAGCGGAAGTGGAGGGTGATTCTGCGGCGGTTACGATGGTGGGGTGCACTCTGATAGGGGGTATTCTCGATGGATTCTTCGTGAAGAGACACTTGGGGACCACAATGAGCGTACGAACATCACTCGTTCTCGAAGAGCATCGAGCCGAAGATGGAATTGGACAGAGTTATCTAATAAGGATAACTTGACTCGTGTGTGTGTGCGTGTGTGTGTATAATGTATACGACGAAAGCGCAAAGCTTTTGGCGAACAATCGTCGTTATTGAGTCGGATGAACATTTTAAGAACGCCTTTCTCGTGAAAGGCCACGATGATAGATATTTTAAAGTCAATCTTCTATATAATAGTCTTGGCTGAAGGATATAGGTCAGTCGTTACGCATCTCTTACGAAATGACAATAAAACGTGCACGATAAATATGGAAGTGTTGTGACGTTACGGCTAGGAATAACTAGAATGATTCAATGATGATCGTAATGGTGGTTAAATTGTCCAGCGAAAATATATATATATATATGTATGTATGTATGTATACTATCTGATCGACAGAACAACTTCGGATTTTTTTCTCGAACGATGATCGATGGATATTCCGTGGACACGCAAGCGTTTTCGTTGAGGTGAAATAATGGGTGTCAAATCGTTTGAAAATATCAGCTTGGAAATATCAATCAACGAGATAATCCTTAACGCAATCACGTAATTCAAAGATCCATTCTTCTGGCAGTTGGACCAGAAAGGAGAAGATGGGCCAGGGTCGTTTGGAAGATTCGATTTAATGACACAACGCCGTTCCCTAGCGGAATATCTTTGCGGTTTGGCCACGCCCAAACCTTCGTGAAGATTATAGGAAATTACCCGATTTTTGGGAGAAAAAAATGACCTCGAGCCGCGGCTCTTAAAACGGCCGATTTCATAGCAGAAATGAGGACCGTTTTCCCTCTCTGGAGCGGCCTTCGTGCCAAACACGAACCTTCTTCTTCGCGAGCATCTTTCGAATTCTTCGACGTTTATTTTCGAGAACGTCGACGCTCAATGGACTGGAAATTATACTACGCGCATTAAGCATTAAACATTTCACTGATTTCGTTCTTATCGTTTAATTGAAACAGCACCATCGACGGTGGGAGAGTTTGGTGGGTTTCGGAATTAATTCCCACACGAGCAACCGCGAGACGAGACGAGACAGGCTCGCGTCCCGAGCGTAGACCCGTGTCCTTTTAAAGTTAAAGAGACTGCGAATGCCTCAGGAACCTAAGGGACATCGGTATATAAATCAACGTCTGTGTCGGTGAGAGCAAAAGAGAAAGAAAGAGGTAGACAACGAAAAGACGCGAGCCGCAGACAGGAGAGTCCAAGGCTCTCTCGGCTACTTATGCTAATGCCGGCAAATCAATTTATTTATATTTATTTATAGCATTCAAATGTTTCCTCGGGACCAGGTCGTATCTTGTTTCGTTCATGGACCACCCGCAAACGAGAATCAATTCTGTCGCGGGCTACCGCAACACTACCAAGACAAACGTAGAAATCGGCACGATTGTCACCGGGTTTCGAGTGTTTCTCATGCCCAGTTTGAGGCGAGAGTGCGACGACACGATCGCTCATCGATTTCAAAAGACTGAAAATTCCAAGATTCAATTGCTTGGAAATTAAAGAAATTTGGAATCTCGAAATTTTGGAAAATCTTTTGGAAATTGAGAAAATTGAGAATTCTAATTGAAAATCGAAAAAATCTGAAAGTTTAAATATTATTAAAAATCAAATACGTACAGACTTTTCATCTATAGATTGCGTTTTGCAGTCGTACGTGAAATTTAGATAAGAATAATCATCGACGTTTGTTAAATGTCAGAGATTTGTGCTATCGCTCGAATAAATTATGCATTGCGGGTATTTCAATTAACTGGCATGTTGATCGCTGTTTCACAGTGCATTCTTTCGTGACTAGAGTCGCGACTATTAAATTAAGACTGTATTTCACCGAATGTCTCATGAATCGGGCGCGGCTCGATTCGGAATTCGGTCACGTGATCCGAAGAGAGACGAATTTGCACGAACTGTTCAGTAGCGTACCAACTGTTATAATTGAAGTGTTAGTTTGTTTCATTTTTGATGAATGTCACAATCAATTACTCACTGTGCCTACAGAAATGTTCATTTGACTAAATTTTTCATATATTTTAATAGTATGTTTTATTATATTAAATATTATTATAGTATTTAATTATACTAAACATCTCCAGCATATAATTTTGATTTGAAAGAAAATTTATTTAATCGAAAGTAAATTTTAAATCTATTTATTTTTATTGGATGTTAATCCATGTAAGATTTTTCGTTATTTTATTTGTAATAGAAAAATATTTCCTATGTCACCCCTGTTACGATAACAGTTGGTTAGTGGCGTAGTCACTCGTAACTCGTAGGCGTGGGCAGTCCGAGTAATTAATCGTTACGACTTGACGCGAGTTTCGAAGTTCTCATAAAGTGATCTCCAATTCCCAAGAGAATGGCCAACAAAACAAGCTTGCCTATTTTATTATTAGTATTATTCGTTTTCTGTTGCATTCAGCAAGGTAAATATTGTTTTTCAAGCTTAATCATTTAACTTTCGATTTTAACCTCAAAACATTCGTGAAACATAAACCAAATAACTTTACACAATTTCTTCGCATTATCAAAACAACAAGTCGTGTAAAATATACGTTGCTTCAATATGTAAATATGTATAATACAAATAAACAGTATTTGGTTATGTGCCGAATAATTTTCACTCTGTAAACAGATAACAATAATCTCTCCTGTATGTTTTTGCAGGATTGTCTATCAAGTGCTGGGTTTGCAGGTCTGATTCTGATCCAAAATGTGCAGATCCATTTGATAATACCACTGTACCAATAACTGACTGTAAACAAGAACCAGACTTAGAACATTTGCCAGGTGTAAGGCCTACCATGTGCCGTAAAATTCGTCAGAAAGGTGTGTGCGAACAAGTACAAAATTTCACTTAGCATGGTAACCATTTGCAGGGATTGTTACAAGTTAGTTTTTATTTTCATCCTTAGTCAATGGGGAATGGAGATATTTTCGTAGTTGTGCTTACATGGGAGAACCAGGAATTGAGGGGGATGAGAGATTTTGTCTTATGAGAACAGGGACGTACAATATATTTATGGAATATTGCACTTGTAATAGCAAAGATGGCTGCAATACAGCCTGGTCCAATCATGGGAGCGTATTTGCTTCAATTGTAAGTTTAGCAATTTCCTTAAGATACGTACTTGTTTATACTTAACAATCTCAACCAAAGACTATCGATAGATCTGATTAAACGTCTATTTAAACATATTTTTTTTACGATATGAAGATTCATTTGTACTTACTAATTCTTCTTGACAATTGTATGATGTGAACTTCAGGGAAGTAGCAATCTCACTTGGAAATTAGACTGAGTATTCTCTCACAAAACTATTTTATACCATTGATTGATTCTTTTTTTTATAAGCATTTTAAAGTGCCTCTTTGTGCCTTACTAGAAAGATGATAACAATCAAGATATTTTTAAGATATTTTTTAGTAATTTTAGAATGTTGCAAAGATATATTTTTAACTTTCCTCAGAATATTGCAATTTTTTTATAGAAATATATTTTTAATAATTTTTAATACAAACATATATATGCTTGTATCAGACATATATATGCTTTAATTTAGACTTGCGTAGTACAAAAGAAAGATATATCAATCAAATGTATTGAATTAACACTAACATTTAGCACAGTACAAGTAATATTGTAAATTCCGTCCATTATAAAATCATAAATGTAATGTTAGTATAAAATGATCGTGCTTCTCATATTTTTATATGCATTTTCTACAAGTATAGTTAATTATTAAATAACAGAAAAGTATGATTGATTGTATAATGAATCATTCCTTTATACGTTTGTACATGTGTATGATAAAAAAAAAAGAAAAGAATGAATAAAGATATATGGAAAACATTACGTGTAAGAAAATAAAGATCATCCTTTATGTATAACAACAGGTGTATTACATATAAAATATATCTCTGTTATACAAATGTGTGTGTTAATACAAATCTTTTGGTGTGACTGTTTAGGCGTTAAACATACTTCTTGAAATATAATTAATTTCCATAACAAAATACATATACAATTAATTACAGCAATATAAATAATCTATTACAATAATTATATATGATATATTAATACGTTAATACTTACATTAATGCTTATAATTGAAACAATGAGCAAAATATATGTGTCACTATCAGTTCTACCAAACAAATTCAAAAAATTCATAATATAAAATACTTTTCCACTGATTTTGTAACTCATCTTAAAAATATCTCAATACAGAGTGTTAATAGAAAATTAAAAGTCGAGATCCAAAATAAAAACGCGTCGCTATATCCACATTGTATGTCGTCTTTACTTAGCAGTTAAAAATTGATTGCTTGGAATTCCCTCCGGCACGGAATTTAGTCGATCTCTTCGTTTATTCATTTCATCATTAAGATTTTGTGAATGTCGCATTTATTCCTATTAAAATATATATTTCTATACTGGTAGGCACTTATTGGACGGTTCCATCATTCCGATCCTCGACAGAAATTTCCAAACAAGGTTACGATCGCGATTTCTCTGCCTTGGAATCGGGGACGGTTGTGTAAAACGATCGATATGTACAAACAAATGGGTAAAATACTTTTGTTCAAGTATGTCGCCTTGCGACAAAATCATAAGATCCAGTGAAAATAAAATCAAGCGAAAATAAATTTCACGAATAGCTTATATACGATGTAGTTTCGAATCCATAGATGTTCGCCTAAGTATTTTTCGGACCTACACTATCGATCACGCGTTTAAATATTCATAATGTTAGCATAAATCGAAAGTAGGCTCACGCTCGAAGGAAAACTGAGCTTATTGATCTGTTCGCGTCTCTAGTTTTCACTCGAATGCCTGCCATTTCGTTATCTGTTGTCCTGATTTCGCTAGAGCTTGTTTCCATTGTTCCCCATAGGTTCCACCTACATCTGGTCCGATTGCAAAATGGCCAACGGTGGTTTTCTTCCCTGAAATAACACGAAACATTCGTAATCAGAAATCGATTAAAAAATAGTAAAAATAGTAAAAATTTTCGCAACAGTAATAAAATCTCGGTGGAGCAGTATAGCTCACCTAATTTATTTTTTGAGACGAATTTAACAACAAAGCTAACATCCTTCAATGCCCCCTGATACGGATTATCCGCGATCACTCTCGCCAGATCTGGCGCGAATTTCATCGAAACGCACGGCGCGAAACGATCGCTTTTCCAGAAGTGAGTCACTCGTCCATTGTCTACCACAGACATCTTGATATACATCTGTCCTTTCAAGGCCTCGTGCTCGTGCATCGTCTGTAACGAGCATCTCAGACGATGCAGAGACAATATCAGTCTTTCGCTACCCTCCTCATTCTTATTGGTCTTTTCTTGGCACAGTGACAACTCTACTTGGCCTTTCTTGTTTTCCTTCTACAACAGCGATAAGGACAAACAATTCAGTATTGTGTTATGTTACAGTTGCATGATATATGCATCTGAAAATTCCTGAGAGTTTACCCTTTCCTCGGCTCCAGAAATGCCACTGGCGATCGGTCGCAACGGCCTCCACATGTCACCAGTCGACACGTCGCTTGGATGCTTTGGTTTAGGTGGCTTCACGTTGAAATTCTTCGGATCTAAGGAGATCGTCGTGGCACCTAAAGTTCGCCTTTTATCGAACAATTTTCTCTCCGTGACTGTAGTTTCCGCCGATTTGTCCGTTCCCTTGTTAAAGAACTGACTGAACAATTTATTCTTCGTTGGCTCCTGGTTCTCGGAGGAGGCACCCTGGCCATCTTTCTTCTTGCTCCCTTTCTTCGGAGATTCCTTAGTGGGAGACGAGGCTTTCTCCTCCTTCTTCTCGGTCGCTATCAACGGTTTGTCCTCGAGAATCGCGTACAACGTGGCCACGATGAACCTGGATCCGTTGATCTCCTCCTCGACCACCTTCGTTTTACCGAACTTCTGTTTCGTCTCCTTGCGCAGAGGAAACGTAAATTCCTCGTTCCACTGCGGCCACGACTCGTTCTTCGACGTTGTCTCGAACTTCTCCTTTCCCGGTATCAGCTTCACCTGGAATAGAAGCGACTTGCTCTCATTCCCGCTCGAGTTTTCTCTTTGATACATAAACGGCTGGCAGCGCGGAGTGAATAGCTAATTGCCTTCGATCAGGAACGTTTCCATCGAGTGCGTGCGAAACGTTCGAAGCTTATCAGCATCAACCAGCCACGAATGGTTCACGTGGAATTTTTTATTCTACGCCGTTCTTCTCATCGTTACTCACCATCTATTCACAATTTTAATTATGCAGTCCGGCAACGTCAAAATTCTTCACGAACAGCATCGCTCGAGAACATCGTTCCCCTCTTGGCATATAAAGGAAGTAGGGAAATCGATCGTGGAAATAAGAAAACCGTGGCCGCGCCGCGGGCAGAGTTTAGATTTCAACTCGACCATTGTGTAATGAACATATTTCAAACGTATCGTGCGCGGAGATAAGGGAACGATTCTTCATTGTCTTCTAAGATTCGCGAGCCAACAACAATTTTGAAGTGGGCGCGCGAGTTTCGTGCGATGATTCCTTCGAGTTACGTAACGATAGATAATGATAGGAAAGACCGATATGAAGTCTGTTACACGTACACTACGTACCTTGACCACGTAGCTGTTGACACGGGTGAAACCAAAATTCTGTGGCAAATGACGAGCGCCCAGCACAGTCACATGCAGCGCCTTCTCGTTGATCGAATGAACGATCCTAATGCCCACTTCCGGCTCCAGATTCACCGTACGATCCAACGGCGTGGACACGGTCTTCAGACTTGTGTCTATAAAACTTTTGATCCTCGCCAAAGCCATTCTCGACGCCTACTACTGAATATTTTCGTCGCGAATCCGTGCGTTCCTATCGATTCCGAGGGATCAGTGATAACTCATGATTTCAGCAATGATAATTCATGAATTCATCAACGATACTGTATTTTTGCTTGACTGCGAACAGAAGAAGGCAAAGTGTCGTTAAAATTGCAAGGAACGATAATTTGGCGAAAAGATACACCTGGCGTACTCAAAAATCTTTCTTGGAATAGTTTGCTTTCGTTATCTAACGTGTACTTTAATCGATTTTTTTTTTTGATTATTTGACGAACGATTTGCGTCATTGTCATTGACAATAATCGAACTCGCGTCAGAGTTTACCGCGCTTCGGTGCAACGTTCTTCGCGGTTCTAAACGAGCGATAAGAAGCAAGCGGAAACGGTCGAGCTGCGATCAACGTCGATGAATAACGGTATATTTCAAAGAGACTCGCTGATCGTGAAACTTCGAGCAAGACTGTAAGCCTATTCTCGAGCAAACTTGACCAGACAAACAGGCCAGGTATATATCTGTCAGCTGTTCCGCCCAATGCGCTCCATCCTCATAATAAATCTACGAACTCGAGCTATATCAAGAACACGAAAGAAATCTATTCGAAGATATGCATCCACCAGCGATCGAACTTTCTCCAACGAAGGAAAATTGTCCCAGTCACCGGGCGTTGTCATCTGTTCGTTACGAGGAAAGGTCGCTTGGAAACAGCGATGTACCTACCATAATCACGATGGTTGACGACCGGCTGTGTGTGGCGCAGCGTGGCTCGGAAAGAACTGGACGGTTTCTCGACGTAGCACGTTGCCAAGAAACGTTCACTGGGCGCGTCTGGCAGCGAATATCTACGACGAAGCGTAGTCAGATCACCGTCTCCATGACCGCAGAGGCGAACGTAAACACGTATATAATTGGATAAAGGTTGCGTGTCTTTCACTGACGATGTGCCGCGTCGCCACGCGGTTGGATCGCGATCCCTTCGAGCCTGTTGCGCATCGTGCAGCTTGTTCGAAACGAAACTACGTCACCGAGGACCACTGATGCGAATCTTCCTGGCGTGGTACGTAGACACGCGCGTGTTGGGGAATTAAGAGCAATCACCACGTTGAATCGGCACTTGCAGCTTCGAACGACGCGCTGCCGTGGTATGCAGCCTGCGCTTTCGCGTGGGTTCCCTTTATAAGGCGGCAAACCGACCGCAGACCAGGGACGGAGTATTTTCAAGGCACCTTATTCTCCGGGCACCCGTGCTGCGATATAGAATTTTGCTTTCGATAAGAAGGCTCCTGGAATTTTGAGAAAAATCGTGTCAAAACATTGGCTCAAGTTATGAATAAGAAAAGGGAGTATATTGTGATTATGGATATGGAATTGTACCTGACGTGAAAAATAAATGAATAAGAAAGATTATATGTTGTAAATACAAGTACAAGAGTGAATGTGGAACAAGTATTGGTTGATGAGATTGGTGAGATAGTACGCGAATGATTGGTATATTTGTATTACTGTCCATAATGTGTGTTATTATTGTATCTAGAATGAGGTGTATTAGTGTGATTGACAGGAATGATATAATCTTCATCTCAATCGATACATATTACGTAACATGATTTACAATTCTGCACATGTTTATAAATATTCATATAGTATTACACGTGAACCGTAATGTATAATGCAAATATAGAAAACAGATTTTTTAATTGATTATGAATGTTGCTTCTAAGTATTTTTATACCAAAATATCTTCTCATCACTCTTGGAGTTAATTGTATCTATTGCTCCGAAAAATTTTGACACAGGAGGACAGGGCACGTAAAATTGTATTTACGCTACTGTTGCGAAAACTGGCCAGTCGTACTAAAGTAGAGGCCCTACTCTTACACTTCATCGTACAATCTTTATAGACTTTACTCGGTTCCTGACGCCTGTTGCGCACACAAGGTCGCGCATTCATGTGCGTATGCATGTGTATAACTGTGTGCTTGTACGTATACGCGAGACGTGTGTGTGTTAATACGGCGTAGTGAATGAGAGTGTATAAATACAGTATCGTACGAACGACAAACGGAGCCCTTTATTTCGTAGCTCCAATAATTCCAAATATAATATGATGATTAATTAATCGAATTAAGAAAATGTTAAAAGATATTGATATATATTAAAAAATATTCGTATGATTTCCTGTTTACTTTGTCATTTACGCTTTTTCATTTTCTAACTAATATTTTATAGTTAGATTTGAAATTACTCACAGTTTCAAAAGCAGATGATTTATTGTATTGTATATTAAACGTTTTATTATTAAAAGAAATAGTAGAAAAGATCGAGAACAATAAAAGAATGCGATACCAAATTAACGCGTAGTAGATCTAATTGTAATGTGTAACAATATCAGACAAACAAGAGAATGGAATGCAGCACAATGCATTGTGCTGCATAAAAAACAAATCGCGAGCATAATCGCGGCGTCATGAATGTAATGAATATAAAAAAGGTGACAGATTATATATATTTTCAGTCTTAATTCTCTTAATTTAGTTTTTGGATTTTTAGATCAGTATATGTACATTTCTTCCAGACGGTTTTGTAAATCTAAGTAGCTATCTATGTACATATATTTCAAACTTTTTATTTCACTTTCATGGGCTTGTTTTCTCGTTAAGATTGTAACATTATTTGCTTATTTTACATTGATTGTTACATTATTTTATAATATTTGATAATTTGTTCGTAACTATTTGAGTTATCAGTATTTTATCAGTTTTATAGTTTGGAGTATGTTTGGTGGAATTAAGATGATTCACATCTTTAGAGATTGTAATAAGCATTATGTCTATCAGTATGTCTGTCAGTACGCACTTAGAGTACTTAGCTCTACGCATAATAAACTACATTGATTACACGTGATGACATGCAAGGATACGTGTAATACATGTATTGGCCTTTGTTGTTGAGCAACTATGCTTAGAATTGTATGGGGAGTTGCTTATCCTCAAAACGAAATGATATTGCTACGAAAAGTATAACAAAGATAAATAATTCATTCATTTAATGACAAAACAATCAAAGAATCATACTTTAAGATCTGTTACTTCGTAACTTATTTATTTTTAATCAGTCATGCCGCATTTTTTAAAATGATTACAATTTAATGTTTCGAGTAAAATAAATTCTTTTTTGAAATTTAAAATTAACAATTGTTCTCTCCGATGCAAAATTTTAATGATCGATGAAACATTCTAGGTTTCAACATTGTCATCAAAGGATTCCCGCGGTTCGGTTAGCAAGTCGAACGTTTTCCACGTTCGTCGTTAGATGGCTGTACTTATCCTTCCAACCCCTACCATCCCCAATAACGACCATCCCTTCTGTGAACAGCTGTTCTGCACCGCCATGGCGCACGCGACTTCGTGGCATCAAAGACGCTCTCGACGTTTTCGACTTTACCGGTTCGAAACGGTGTTTACGTGTTCCGCGTTATTGCATTTCGCGTCGCATTTCCGGTCGTAGAACGGTTTTCGCGTAGAATGAGTGCGGGAAATAAGTGTTCGTGTGTTGTGTCAGAGTGAGAACTACAAGTATTTCCAATCGCGAGGTCCACCGGTCGACCGTCACATCTGAGAGGTAAGTGACGCATTACCATTTGATACGTGTTTTCGTTCGAATACAAATATAGATATCGTAAACATACGACGAGTATACGAGATATTACGCGCAGATGTTACAAGTTATTTTGACTTTGGGCTTGATGTTTGTTTGTTGTGAGTAGCGTCCGTAAACGTATCTTTCGATGAGAATAACGTAATGTCACAGACGAGGTACATGAACAGACATTGCCACAGATGAGGTATATTGTACGCCCGTTGATATCATTTTGGGGAATATGTCTTCCCGAGAACATTCGTTGCGACGTGACAGTGACAGTGACAAAGATAGATTGATCGACGTCGTATGAAATAATTAGATTTTTTCTGGTGTTATTGTACAATTACACAGTAATTTTATTAAGGCATTTATTGGACAAGAAAAATTAGTCCTAACTCGAATACCTTGTAGAAACTGTTGGCAGGAATTGTTTGATCCTGTCACTAGGTGGCAGCACACGGCTGTGTACTTGAGTTGATAGATCCTTAGAGCTATTAGAGAGTTAACACGATACAGCAATGAACAATAATATGCAGCAAATATATAAAAACAAAATACACGTCCTATAATTCCAGATACACTAGATTTACTCCGAAAATAAATATAATTAATTAATGCGTGTACTGAATCGCGTAGCAATCTTCAGTTTTCTCAGATTTCATCATTTCGTATTTCAACGTGAAAATATTAAACAAGCAGACAAAGATGCGTGACAACAATTTGAATTTCACGTCTTATACGTGTTTCCTACTTTTTAGCAAATTTTATCCGCTTGTTGAAAGAGAAGACGTCGTCGAAGGAGAGAAACTTTCTATCCCATTATAACTCGCGTTTCACGTTTCCGCGTGCATACACCTTCATCTTTTTCCATCACTTCGTTTTTCCAGCACTCCGGCCTAACCTCGGTTTATTTATTCGCTCGTCTATTTATTTCTTCTCCTAATAGCCCGAAGAACTTTAATCACAATCGCATCGCTCCAGCTGTTCGCGCGTTCTCTCCGTTTCACCCTTTGTAATTTAATGAACTTAACGCCCCATTTTCCAGCCTCGCCAACCGCCGTTCCTCTCGACGATGAATCCCCCTTGTCCCCCTCTACCTTTTCTCTCTTTGCGTTCATCTTATTATGGACCCTTTTGTGCAGTGCAATTTAAAAGTTTAGCCCTCCGCCTCGAGTCGAGATATCCGCAACTATCAGGGTAACTTTGAGCGATCGTTTCTTTCTTCCTTCTTTTTGTTTTCTTTTTCTTCTCATTTGGCTGATAGATGGGCTTGAAAAAATAATTCAATCAGCTGTGAGTGTGAGAAACGCACAGTGGCTTGATCGACAAGAGTTCCTCGATCGAGATGTCAGATCCTAATTTTTCACTTGAATTTTAATAATTGTTACACCTTAAATAGACTTGATTTAAGGTATCGTTTCATGGTTCAAGTGAGATTGGAGTTTCATTGATTGTTTCTCGACTAGAAAGAAACAGAAATTTTAGAAAAGTCAGTATCATTCGGATCAATTTTTTCTCAACAGTATTTTCTAAATTTTTTTCTTTTTACGATTGCCACCACAATAAATGCCCCAAGAAAATAAAGATTTCTTTTTGAAATTCCACAATAGAAGGAGATATTTATTAATGCAACATTCCCCCCCCCCCCCCCCCCCCCCTCCTCCCAGAGATTCTATTTGTCTCTAAAAATTGTGTACGCTATAAGAGCGTCGTTTAATTCTCGTCGTAGCTCGCTGGAACAAATTCGTTCGACCGAAAATCTCGGCGAACAATGGTCGTAACTCGGTCGAATATCGTATTGGCAATTGAATATTCCACGGAACGAATTTCATCCGGTGGAAACTCCAGCCACTCGAACATCCCAGTCAGAAGTCGCGGTGGCTCGTTCGAAAAGCCCGGTTAGCAAGCCCCGGCTTGTACACTTGATCAAAGTTATACGGAAAATACGCGGGCTGACTGGCTGCACGGTCATTACCCACATTTATCGCGGACAGGCGCGTTGTTACGTCGCGGAACGTTGTTCAACCTCTCCTTTGAGCCACGGCGCGGCCCTTCAAGTGCATTAAGCGCCCTGGTGAAAAATGATTTCGTTACACGGCACGTATTATTCAGCTACGCGGACGTAACGTTATTAGCACTCTGTCGGTTACCGGCCTCCCTCTCGGCAAGTTAGCGAATTTCGACGGTGGGGAAGTTCCGCCGGCGGTACCTCGAAATGCGGCGGGCAAATGTAATTCGCGGTTGGAAATTAAAAAACGCCACGGCTGTTCCAATCCGGCGGTCCGCGAAACGTCTACTCGCTTTAATTAAGCCGGAGATTGGCTGATATTCCCGGCGCGGTACGTTCCACGAATTTTACTCCGCTCCACCAAGACGGATGCGCGTCAATTTCTTTTTTTTTTTTTTTTTCTTTTTTTCTACGTTTCAACACGACGGACGACGACGATTTCGACTCGTCCTGCTCGGGCATCGTTCGCTTTTTTATGCTCTGGTCGCTCGTCGTGATTCAGAGAGATGTCTCT